TTTTTTTTTTTAAGAAATAAATGAGACGGCCTATGCTCTCGACTTTGGATTTGAAATCAGCAATATAACCATGTCTGAGAAGCTTGAACTCAGGGATGGCACCCACCTGACAATACAAGACTCTATAAACACATTGGTAAGTTGGAGACATTTCAGTAGTGTAGTATTTTACAAACACTTGTTTTCTTCTTCTGTCTCTCTTTTTCATTTGCCACATTAACCTCAACATATTTATAAACAAATTCATCTAATTTTTTTCAGCTGGGCAAGATGCTCCTCAGTAACTCCTCAGCGCCTCTCATTAAGTTCCAAGCAGCTGATTTCACGTATGTTCTGACTCACATTTTACTTTAATTTGAGCAAATATGTCCTAATGACTCTTCTTTGGTGTTAGTTGGGAATTTTTGTATACAAGTTTTTGTATATGGCTTGTGTCTTATTGACTTTAGTTTCTCATTGTACATTTTAATCTCCCCACAGGGGTAATTCCACAGTAATTAAGGCCAATGTAGAGTATGTTTTCTCACCAAGTGACATCACGCAACCCAGCATCTTCGAAGTCCTTGAAGAGGTTGAACTGCCTCCATAATCGTATAGGTGTGCTGCTGCACTGTCAACCATCTGTTACCTCACAGTTTATATGGTCAAACTGACAAACAAATGTTAAACTTCCATTTTTTGTCATGTTTTATATGTCTTGCTTCAAAAACAACAAATGCTGTAATTGAAAGTCTGATCCTCCGTTAATTATTACTTTCGTTTACAGCGAGCACTCTGACAACCACAACTTCACCACCGATCTTGTAAGACCAATGAGTGATTTTTTTTTAAAAAGCTAGTTGTTTTCACTTTCTGTGTTTATATTCCAATTATTTATCATCTTTATTTATGCAGGACTAGGAGGGGAATTATTAAGATTCGTCTCGAGTTTATCACACTGGGCCCAAGACCAAGTGAGAGTAATGTTCTACAGGTGGTTAAATCTATGCTGGCCTCAAATCTCACAACTAAACTAACCACGAGAGTAACAAGCGTGAGTGAACCTCTGTCCTTGCAGAATGTTGAGTATCTGGGTGAGTTTTTCTCTTTTCATGCTCCATTTTTGTTGTGAATATAACATAATTATAACATAATAATATAATTCATGGCCTCCTTTGAAGGAAAATAATAATAAAAAAACAGTCAATAATTATGCATAATGAATAATGAAAATGGATAATGCAATATCATGACCGATATATAGTAACACAACTAATTATTTTTGTTATATATTTTTAAGGTATTAATGACACCGCCTACGCACTCATTTTTGCATTTGAAATAAGCAAAGTATCACTGACAGAGATAAAAAGGAAAGAAGCCTATCAAGAAATCCAAAAGAAGATAAATGATTTGGTGAGTTGGAGAGGCTTGGAAATAGTTGTCCTGAAATTGAAACTGCCCTGTTTTAATCATTTACCTATTGTATTTTATTGCTGCACTCTACAGGTGATCCAGATACTAAAGGACCCCTCGGTTAATCTGCTCATTCCAGCCGAATTCAAGTGAGTTCTGATCCACCGCTTTTTACTTTATTTTGTGAAGAAATATCTAAATTAATTTAAGAAAACTGCTTTTATTTAGCGATGCACCGAATATTCGGCAACCGAATAAGAGAAAAGACAGAATAAATTGTACCGAACAGTGATATGACGAGATCAAATAGAGGTGCGCACTCTTTATAATGCAGCACACGTCAGCAGTGTGGAAGCATTTAAAACTGTCTGAGAACGACGCAAAAATCATTTCAAGCACCGACAGCGAGAGACTGTTTAGTACTGCATTGCATGTCTTCGATGAGAAGAGGAAGGGGTGATTGTTGCTGGTTACTGTATGATGATTGAAATCGCGAAATGGCCATAAACAATTAGTAAATAAACTGCAGAACGTTATGTTTTCTAATACACGCACGCATTGCATGTATTCTGACAGCGCTGCAGAATTGCTTGTTAACCAGGGTTCGAAAATCTGTGCTGAAACACTGTTACTCATCAGTTGCTCACACATTTTTATGATTTTTTTACAAGGCATGTGACAATGCGATACGTGCGACGTATTCGTAATGAGACTCATTTATAAATCTGCTGTTGTCGACAAAAAGAAGCATTGATGTCTTCCTGCGCGTTTCCACCAAAATAAAAAAGTTGAGAAACAGCAAGAACTCCATCAACAATGTTAGTATTGTAATTTTACTGTTGTTCTGAAAAAATTTAAAGTAAGACAATATAATGATAATAATAATTACAACTGCTCTGTTAATACATTTATTATAACATACACACATAGTGTTCAAATCTGTAATATTTTTAAATGTTTTAAAAGAATTATCTTCTGCTCAGCAAGGCTGCTTTTATTTGTACAGTAAAAAAAACACATGCCTGATTCAAGAAGGGGGTCTGATGGCCAAAAAATATTGTTTTACTAACTTATTAATTTTAAGTTAAATTGTGCTTTGTTGGTATAATGTCTGCTAGAATGTAAAAAAAATGTTCAGTGTTAAATATTTTTAAATTGTTGTTTTTTTAATTGATTTTTTCTTTGAAAAGCAAGGCAAAACAGTAAAAAGCACATTTTGGCTATTTAATTTATGCAATGGTGAAAAAAATTGGCAAAATACATCGGGAAAACTCGAAAAACCGTGTTCGGTTTCGGCTTCGGCCAAGAATTTTTTCATTTCGGTGCATCCCTTCGTTTATTAATGTGATGTTTTTGATACATGGGTGAATGAATGGCAAGATCGTTTTTAGTTATTTCCTTTTGTTTCTCATTGTATGTTTTATTCTCTCCACAGGGATGATCTCTTTGTGATTGTGGCCAATGTTACGTATGTTTTCTCACAACATGACAGCAACACGGCCTCCGGTTTCTTGGTCAGTGCCCTTTTCACGGCTTTTACCACACCAGTTCCAACCACCATGAGCGCTACAACCTCCAACAATGGTACAAACGTAGCATGGATTGTGGCTATCATTGTCCCCTGTGCTATTGTCATCGGGCTCGTACCTTGCTGGATTCTCCTTTGCGTAAGTATTATGTTGACGGAATGACAAATATGTGCATTTGTTGTGAAGTGATTAATGACAACAGGCATGTCATATTCTTACAGTAAAAATAGACCGATCTGGTATATAATTGTGTATGTACAGCTGATTAAAAGTGTTTTTAAAGTGTATAAAATTCCCTTCCATGATGCTAACTCTCACTTTG